GAACTCCTGGGCCTAAGTGATCCCCCTGCCTCCACCTGAGCCACTGCCCACAGATCACTTAAGTATTCTTGTCAAAAATGTGTTTTTGTTTCTTTGTTTTTTTGAGACAGAGTTTCACTCTTGTTGCCCAGGCTACAGTGCAATGGCACAACCTCCGCCTCCCGGGTTCAAGTGATTCTCCTGCCTCAGCCTCCCGAATAGCTGGGATTACAGGCATGTGCTACCACGCCCAGCTAAGTTTGTATTTTTAGTAGAGATGGGGTTTCTCCATGTTGGTCAGGCTGATCTCAAACTCCTGATCTCAGGTGATCCACCTGCCACAGCCTCCCAAAGTGCTGGGATTACAGACGTGAGCCACCATGCCCGGCCATCAAAAATGTTTTAATGTGAGTCTAATCAAGCCACTAGACCTAACTTCAAGTTTACAAGAAATTTAGGTCAAGAAAAAGTTAAACATGAACACAAGTAAACAAAACATCCTGGTTTACCCAGGACTAAGGAGTTTCTCAGGATGTAAGATCAGTGTTCGACCTAGGAGAGTCCTAGACAAACTAGGACAGTTGGTCACCTTAAAATCAGACAAATCCATAATGTGGAACAGACCTGGTCTCTAAAAAGTCAGTGCCTTGGGTGAAAAAAAAAAAAAAAGTGAGGAGATCATTCTACATTGAGAGAGACTAAAGAGGCCAGACATGGAGGCTCATGCCTGTAATCCCAGTACTCTGGGAGGCCGAGGTAGGTGCATCACTTGAGGTCACGAGTTCAAGACCAGCCTAGCCAACATGGTGAAACCCCATCTCTACTAAAAATACAAAAATTAGCCGGGTGTGGTGGCACATACCTGTAATCCCAGCTACTCGGAAGGCTGAGGCAGGAGAATCACTTGAACTCAGGAGGTAGAGGTTGCAGTGAGCTGAGATTGTGCCACTGCACTCCAGCCTGGGCTATGACAGAGCAAGACCATCTCCCAAAAAAAAGAAAGATACTAAAGAGACACAGACACAACCACCAAATGTAACATGTGAATTGGCCATAAAAAACATTTTGGGGACAGTTGGGGCAATTGAATGTAAAGCAGTTGTACCTTGCCAGACCACAGATGTAAATGAACAATGTCGCTAAGTCAATACACTGTTTAATTCAGGTGCCTTTTTTTTTTTTTTAAAGACTTTTTTGATAAAGAATGTGATACTCTGGCACTTTGGGAGGCCGAGACAGGCAGATAACTTTAGGTCAGTAGTTTAAGACCAGCCTGGCCAACATGGTGAAACCCCATCTCTACTAAAAATACAAAAAAAAATTAGCCAGGCATGATGGCGCATGCCTATAATCCCAGCTACATGGGAGGCTGAGGCATGAGAATTTCTTGAGCCCAGGAGGCAGAGGTTGCAGTGAACCAAGATTGCACCACTGCACTCCAGCCTGGGTGACAGAGCAAGACTCTCACTCAAAAAAACAAAAGAAAGAAAAGAAAAAGAAAAAGAAGAAAGAAAGGAAGGAAAGGAAAGGAAAGGAAAGGAAAGGAAAAAGGAAAAGGAAAAGGAAAGAAAAAGAAAAAGAAAAAGAATGCAGGCCAGGTGCAGTGGCTCACGCCTGTAATCCCAGCACTTTAGGAGGCCGAGGTGGGTGGATCACCTGAGGTCAGGAGTTCAAGACCAGCCTGGCCAACATGGTGAAACCCCATCTCTACTAAAAATACAAAAATCAGCCCGGTGTGATAGCACGCACCTGTAATCCCAGCTTCTCAGGAGGCTGAGGCAGGAGAAACGACTTGAACCCAGGAGGCGGAGGTTGCAGTGAGCTGAGATCATGCTGCTGCACTCCAGCCTGGGTGACAAAGTAAGACTCCATCTCAAAAAAAAAAAAAAAAAAAAGAAAAAGAAAAAGAATGTGGTACTATGCTATATACTTTGGTATAAACTCCTTATCTCCCTGTGAAACATAAGGCAGTCTCCAGATCACACCTCAAGAAGCACTGGACTACATTAGATGACATTAGTGAAGATTAGTGAGGTACTGCTAATTTTCTTAGTTGAACTCATAATATTATGGTTATGTAGAAAAATGTCCTTATGCTTAGAAGATAGATGTATAAGGTATACACGTATCTGTATACCTTATACAGATAGATGAGGTATCTTCATCTAAAGATGAAGAGTTGGCCGGGCGCGGTGGCTCATGCCTGTAATCCCAGCACTTTGGGAGGCCAGGCTGGGAGGATTGCTTGAGCCCAAGAGTTTCAGACCAGCCGGAGCAAGATGGTGAGATCTCATCACTATAGAAAAATTTAAAAATAGCCAGGCATGGTGGCAAACACGTGTAGTCCCAGCTACTTGGGAGGCTGAGATAGGAGGATCCCTTGAGCCCAGGAGTTCAAGGTGGCAGTGAGCCATGATAGTGCTACTGCACTACAGCCTGGGTAACAAAGCAAGACCCTGTCTTAACAACAACAAAAAAAATACGACTCACTGAAGACTCAGATGATTTTTAGCATTTTTAAAGCAATAAAGTACATTTTAATTGAGGTACATACACGGGTTTTTTAGATGTAATGATATTGTACACTTAATAGACTATAGTATAAGCAATGTTTATATGCACTGGGAAACCATAAAATTCATGTTACTTGCTTTATTGAGATATTCACTATGTTGTGGCAATCTGGAACCAAACCCGCAATATCTCTGAGGGTATAACCATAAACAAGTAACAAAATTATGAGGAAGTTGATTTTCCATAGCCAATCCTATATTTATTCATTAAATATTCCTTCAGGGAGGAATATTTAAGTTAAAAACAGAAGGGTGAGTAGAGTTAAGTCAGAAGAGTTAGGGAAAAGAATACTCCAAGCTGAGGAAACAGAATGTGAAAAGGACCAGAATGAAAGAACTTTCTACTTTTCAGGGAAAGGAATCCAATATATCTAGAGAAATGGAGTTCTTCAGATTATGAAGTGGCCTTTGAGCTTCATCAATAATGTTGGACTTTATTTTAAAAGCAATAGGAAGTTGGCTGGGTGCAGTGGCTCACGCCTGTAATCCCAGCATTTTGGGAGGCCGAGGCGGGTGGATCATTTGAGGTCAGCAGTTCGAGACCAGCCTGGTCAACAAGGTGAAACCCTGTCTCTACTAAAAATACAAAAAAAAAAAAAAAAAAAAAAAAAAAGAGCCAGGCATGATGGCACGCACCTGTTATCCCAGCTACTTGGGAGGCTGAGGCACGAGAATCGCTTGAACCCAGGAGGCGGAGGTTGCAGTGAGCTGAGATTGCACCACTGCACTCTAGCCTGGGTGACAGACTGAGACCCTGTCTCAAAATAACTAACTAAATAAAATAAAAGCAACAGGAAGCCAATGACAGATTTTAAGTAATGGAGAAACATGTGATTTGCATTTTTTTCTTAAGAGATAGGATCTTGCTATATTGTCCAGGCTGGTCTTGAACTCCTGGGTTCAAGAAATCCTCCAGCCTCAGCCTCCACAGTAGCTGGTATTTCAGGTGTGTGCCATGGTGCTAGAATGAACTGGGGCAAGAGTGAATACAAGCAGCAACAGTTGGGAAGATGACTATTGCAGCAATAATCTGGAGAGAGATGATGGAAGCCTGCAGGGATGGCGACTTTGTGAAATATTGGATGGGTCCAATAGTACAGGAGAAGGACTCAGAAGTCATTCCCAGGCTCTGGCTTGGGTGACTGAGTAAATTGTTATATTCATAAAGACTGAGAATAGAGGAGGAAGAACATGTTTAGGGGAAAGATGGAAAGCATTCGACATTAGATTATTGAGTTTGAAGAATCTAGAAGATATCCAAGAGGAAGTTACCTTATAGGTAGTTGGATACAGGAATGAAAAGGAACTCTGTTTTCTGGCTTAAGTGATTGATAGAGATGGTATTGCCATTTGCTGATATAGGGAATAAATGGGAAAAAATGCTTTTTTGAAAATTTCAGTTATAAAAATAATATAACTCATTGCATAAAATTAAAAAATAAGGAAATGAAAAAATTTATGCGACTACCATAAACCAACACTTTGGGAGGCCGAGGCAGGTGGATCACCTGAGGTCAAGAGTTCGAGACCAGTCTGACCAACATGGTGAAACCCCGTCTCTACTAAAAATACAAAAATTAGCTGGGCATGGCGGCGGGCACCTGTAATCCCAGCTACTCAGGAGGCTGAGGCAGGGGAATCGCTTGAACTGGGAGGCGGAGGTTGCAGTGAGCTGAGATCACGCCACTGCACTCCATCCTGTGTGACAGAGTGAGGCTCCATCTCAAAAAATAAAAATAAAATAAATCTTTCTGGCTGCTCCTCCTTGGGCTAGATAATTCTTAGAGATAGCAAGGGTTCAGCTGGAAGAGTTCTTTGATATACAAACTAACCAATTCAGAGCTATATGGCCTCTATCTGGCACGGACACCCCAAGAGACAACATTCCAGTGTCCTAATCACCCCATGGCCAGGTACCAGACAACTAGGGAGCACCCCTATACCTTATTCAAAGTAGCCAATCCTAAACTGTTCACTCTGCCCTGCATTGCCTTTCCCAAGGAAACTCAAGTAACAGCAGTGGCCTAAACCTTCCCCTCTTCTGTCTTCTGCCTCCTGCCTACTCTGGTGTATTTCCCATGTAGCCCTATGTGGCATAATATGTCTCCTGTCTCTAGGACCTGTGAGCATAATAGACTTTGTTTTCCTGAGCCTCTCCTGTGTCTCCTCTTCTGGCTATACCTGACCCACCATCTAAAAAAAGAATAGAAAACATTATATAGTAGGTTTAACAGCCATATTTTTCTAAGAAGGAGGCTTCTCTAGAATGTTTGATTGAGAAGAATTAAAATACCAGTTAACCAGATATCACTTTGTGAATCAGACAACGCTTATTAAGTTACACATCCTTAGGCCTTTAGATTATCAAAACATAATCTAAATTGTTGGGCAAGTACCTAAGAACAATTCCAGAGTTGATGAAATCATGGACTAGAGAATGTTAAATATAGTCAGTTTTCAATATCCAGTTTATTATGCTATATTAGATTTTGGAGCTTTTGCCTCCACACTACACAGCACAGTTATAGGTATTCAGTCTCTTTGAAAATTTCCTTTCCCTTAGGGTCTCTCCAATAACCAATTCTTCCTCCATTGGTGAGAGTTAATTGGTGCTATTGCTCCTAGGGACAACTACATTTTCTTTTCTTTTTTTTGAGATGGTGTCTTGCTCTGTCACCCAGGCTGGAGTGTAGTGGCGTGATTTCGGCTCACTGCAACCCCCACCTCCCAGGTTCAAGCAATTATCCTGCCTCAGCCTCCCAAATAGCTGGGATTACAGGTGCCCACCACCAGTGATAACTACATTTTCAAGGGGCATTCGAGATGCCTTAAAACCAAGAAAACCCGAAAGAATCTCATCTAATGATCAGTCACCCGGTATTCACTTCATGGCTTACTCTCCTTTAAAAAACCTCGACTGTGTCTGGTTTTAATCCTTAACTACCTCATGAATCCAGAAGTCTTAGAAATATCTAAAAATTGTAGCATCTCTGAGCAAATGCACAGGCTCCAGTCAATGTAAAATTATTACCAGCTGCTAAAAAAGGGTCATTTGTCCACACCATAAGCAGAATCAAATGGAGGAGACAAGACTATAAACTAAAACCAAGGCTGACAGCAATAGGAAGAAACAGTACAGAACCAGGAGTGGGGGGTGGTCAAACCCAAGCAAACGGGCATGATTGAAAGGGAATCTGAAAACTAAGGTTAAGTCTGCCTTGAGAGGGTGCGGTGGCTCACGCTTATAATCCCAGTACTTTGGGAGGCCAAGGCGGGTGGATCACTTGAGGTCAGGAGTTTGGGACCAGCCTGGCCAACATGGTAAAACCCCGTCTCTACTAAAAATACAAAAATTAGCCAGGCATGGTGGCACGCACCTGTAATCCTAGCTACTGGGGAAGCTGAGGCACGAGAATCACTTGAACCCGGGAGGCGGAGGTTGCAGTGAGCCAAGATCATGCCACAACACTCAGCCTGGGCAAGAATGAGACTCCATCTCAAAAAAAAAAAAAAAAGTCTGCCTCAGACCAGAGGCCTACTACATTCTTCCTATTCACAAACCAAAGGTTGGTTTCCACTGTAATGCTCCCGGGGTCTGCAATGTAGCAATATGCCAAACCTGAAAGTTTCTGAAACTTCAGCCTTAACAAATAGCCTGCAGTCTTCTAGGAGGCTGCTTATCGAGTGAAGAGGAGCACCAGCTCACAGTGTGGGGTGTGGGGGAACAAATCCACAGGGACAGCTTGCTGTAGGACAAAGGGCTCGCCTAAGAGCTTCTTAGCAGGGTCTGGAGGACAGCACAGCCTGTAGAAACAGAACATGGCATCAGTTCCCAGGAATAAAAGGAAGAACCCACAGGAATACAATTGCTTAAAATAGAGGCCCTTCCACTGTGTTCCCACAGGCCCCCTGTGTTTCTCTTATACAGCATTTATCTTATTTAATATAACTGTTTTTCTTCACCATCTTCCTTACTGAAGTATAATCTTTTTAAGGGTAGAAATGAAGTAAACACTGCTTAATATTCATTTCTGTGTTCCCAGTATGTGACACAGAATAAGGGTTCAATAAGGGTTGGAGCTGAAAAGCCTGTATGTTTATAAGGCCTTAAGATACATAATCACCAAACTGTTCTAAAAAGGGTTGTAACCACTTTACATCCAAACCAGCAAAGTAGAAGAGTATTTGTTTGCCTGGATAACATTCAATACAGTCATGCATCACTTAACAATGGGGGTACATTCTGAAAATTGCATTGTTAGGCAATTTCTTCATTGTGTGAACATAATAGAGCATACTTACACATACCTAGATGACAGAGCCTACTACACATCTAGGCTATACGCTATAGTCTATTTCTCCTCAGCTACAAATCTGTACAGCATGTTACTGTACTGAATACTGTAGACAACTGTAACACAGTGGTAAGTATTTATGTATCTAAACATTAAAAAGTACTGTAAAAATATAGTAGAAAAACTGGTCAACCTGGACAGCATCGTGAGACTCCATCTCTACAAAATTTTAATTTTAACTGATTTTAAAATTAGTTGGGTATGGTAGTACATGCCTGTATTTCTAGCTACTCTGGGGGCTGAGGCCAGAGGATCACTTGAAACCAGGAATTCAATACCAGCCTGGGCAGCATAGCGAGACTCTGTCTTTACCAAAAAATAAAAAATAAATAAACTAAGGTCCAGACATGCTGGCTCATGCCTGAAATCCCAGCACTTTGGAAGGCTGAGGTGAGAGGATTGCTTGAGCTCAGGAGTTCGAGACCAGCTGGGGCCACATGACAAAACCCTGTCTCTACAAAAAACACAAAAACTAGCTGGGCATGGTGGCTCACACCTGTAGTGCCAGCTACTCAGGAGGCTGAGGCGGGAAGATGGCTTAAGCCCAGGAGATAGAGGTTGCAGTGAGCTGAGATCACACCACTGTACTCTAGCCTGGGACAGGATCATCAATATCACTGTTTTGTACCTCCACATCTCGTCCCACTAGAAGGTCTTCAGGGGCAATAACATACATGGAGCTGTTATCTCCTGTGATAACAATGCCTTCTTCTGGAATACCTCCTGAAGGATCTGCCTGAGGCTGTTTTACAGTTAACTTTAAAAAAATAAGTAGAAGGACTATCTGCTAAAATAATAAAAGTACAGTATAGTAAGTATGTAAACCAGTAACACAGTCATTTATTATCAAGTATTATGTACTATAGATAACTACACGTACTTAATTTTATAAGTGCTGATGCTGGTGTAAACAAACCTACTGACAGCACAATAAATTTGTTTACACCAGCATGACCACAAACATGTAAGTAACCCATGTGCTAAAATGTTACAACAGCTATGATGTCACTAGGCCATAGGAATTTTTCAGCTCCATTATAATTTTTTTTTTTTTTTTTTTTTTGAGACGGAGTCTTGCTCTATCACCCAGGCTGGAGTGCAGTGGCACAATCTTGTCTCATTGCAACCTCCGCCTCCTGGATTCAAGCGATTCTCCTGCCTCAGTCTCCCAAATAGCTGGGATTACAGGCACGCATGACCACCACACCCGGCTAATTTTTGTATTTTAGTAGAGATGGGGTTTCACTATGTTGGCCAGGCTGGTCTTAAACTCCTGACCTCAAGTGACCCTCCCGCCTCAGCCTTCTGAAGTGCTGGGATTACAGGCGTGAGCCATCGTGCCCGGTCAGCTCCATTATAATCTTATGGGACCAACATCATATATGCAGTCCATTGTTGACTGAAATGTTATTATGTGACACAAGACTGTAGTTTAGATAGCATTGTCCCATTATAATCAAAAACACAACAAAAATATTCCCTATCACATCTACAATGGAACATTTTCTTATCCAAAATAATAAGCAAAAGGAAATGAGTATTAGAAGGAGAGGGACAGAATTATTTTTATACATGGTGATCATATGGTCAGCTGCCACAACAATGTGAGAACCAACTAAAAAATGAATAAAACTAATAATAGAGTAAGGTAGCTGTACACCAGATTGGCAATAACTAATTGGAAAATGTCATGAAGGCTGAGCATGGTGGCTCACACCTGTAATCCTAACACTCCCGGGTTCAAGCGATTCTCCTGTCTCAACCTCCCAAGTAGCTGGGATTACAGGCACACAAACCATGCCTGGCTAATTTTCTGTATTTTTATAGTAGACATGGGGTTTCACTGCGTTGCCCAGGCTAGTCTTGAACTCCTGAGCTCAGGCAATCCACCCATCTCGGCCTCCTAAAGTGCTAGGATTACAGGCGTGAGCCACCACACCCGGCTGACACATTCTTAAATTTTGCACCCAAACTAAGTACTTGACTTGCCTCATTCCTGACCCAGCCCTGTAATTGAGTCTTGAAGGTGGTATTTTTTTTTTTTTTGGTTTCTGTTTCTTTACACTTCTCATGACTTGAAAGCTCAAATCACTTTCCAACTGTGTGCACGATAAGCATGAATGACTTTGATAATCAGAACAAAAAATTTTCAACAGAAGTCAAGACTTACTCAATGACATTCCTAGTGGATTCACCATGGAGCTTGCAGGAAACAAAAACTAGTGTGCGGATGGCCCTGCAGTTTCGAATGGCTTGAATCACCTTGTAATCTGAAGGAAGAAATACCTTGCTATTAGTATAATTAACTACTATGGTCTCTGTTATCACAAACCTCCAACTGACCAGAACTCAGGATTGATTAGAAATAGAGGGGAAATAGGTTCAGAGCCAGCCCACTGAAAGTACCCATAGCATGGTGTGGAAAAGAAGAACCAAAGTTGGTGGATAATACTGGGAACATCAAAATAGCTGTTCATCCTTACGCAGTCCGGCACGGGCTGGGTTCACCACAGCAACAACTGACTGTCCATCTTCCTTTGACTTTAGTAGCCCTGGCAAAATCTTCTCTGCTCGACCAGTGTGAAATTCAGAGTTGGTGATGCCTATGGAAGACAGGCCCACATGACGTAACTCAAGTCCAGCAGTGGGGGAAAGCTTCAGCTTCACAGAAATGCACAGGAGCCAAGGGCTCTGCCATCTTCCCTTTGGATCTAGCATCACTCCAAGTAACAAGGAAAGAAGTGCTTTTGGACAGACCTGCTTCATTTTTTCCAAAGTACTTTCCCTTAGAATATCTCAGTAAGCCTTTCAGCTTGAGCAACTAGTGTTTACACTTTTTTTTTCTCTTGCGATGGAGTCTCGCTCTGTTGCCCAGACTGGAGTGCAGTGGCGCGATCTCGGCACACTACAACCTCCACCTCCAAGGTTCAAGCAATTCTCTGCCTCACCCTCCCGAGTAGCTTGGATTATAGGCGCCTGCCACCACGACCGGCTAATTTTTGTATTTTTAGTAGAGACAGGGTTTTACCATCTTGGCCAGGCTGGTCTTGAACTCCTGACCTTGTGATCCACCCGCCTCAGCCTCCCAAAGTGCTGGAATTACAGGTGTGAGCCACCATGCCTGCTATTTTACAACTTTACAACTCACATAGCATGCAAGGACCTATACCAAGACGAGAATCTTGACTTTTGCTCAAGTGCTCTTCCTGCTATATCAGACATTTTCACCAAATGCCTCAGGAGCATTCTGGAGGTGAAGTAGTGGGAGCAAGATGATCTATTTTCTATATTGCAGTTTGACAGAAGACTGTGTTTGAAGAAAAGATTTTGTTGCTGAAAATATAGGTTTGAAACCTATTGTATTATGCTATAAGGCCTCATGAGTCTAATGTCAAGGAGATTCTTCTATTCTGTCCAAAGTTTTGCAACTTTTCTTCCTATCAGCTAGACATGTACCTTCCCTTAGGCTCCTCTTCTGGACAGGAAAAACGTTAGATATTGGTACCTATTCCAGAAAACCATGAGGATCTATTCCAGAAAACCATTCTGACCAATCCAGAATTCCCTCCCTTCCTCCCTGTGGGTCAGGGATACAGTAGTTGTCCTTTGCCACACAATTCTTTCCATAGCACAGAAACAACTGCATCCCTTAATTTCTACACAGACTGTAAACTGTGTACCATTGAAGGCTGCAGTCCATCTTGCATCCTCCACTGCCTGCTCCACCAATTCAATCCCGAGGACCTGAGATGTATGCTGAGCCAGAGAGAGGCCAATCACACCTGAAGAAGTAAAAGAGAAGAAGAAGGAGGCAGCATTTTAGGGTTTGGGTGTGGTAGTTTGTTTGTTTTTTGTTTTGTCTTTTTTTGTTTGTTTGTTTGTTTGTTTTAAACAGGGTCTCACTCTGTAGCCAAGGCTGGAGTGCAATGGCACACAGTTCACTGCAGCCTCGACTTCCCGGGCTAAAGCAATCCTCCTGTCTCAGCCCCCCGAGTAGCTAAGACTACAGGCTCATGCCACTATGCCCAGCTAATTTTTAATTTTTTTGTAGAGATGGGGTCTCACTATGTTGCCCAGGCTGGTCTCTAACTCCTGGGCTCAACCAATCCTCCTGCCTTGCCTCACAAAGTGTTGGGATAACAGGCATGAGCAACCACACTTGGCTGCAATTTTAGGGTTTTAGACCAATAAGATTACGCCTGCACCACTACCACTACCTCTCCCCAACCACCTCTGCAAGCTACAAGGGCCCTGGGAGCTGAGCAGCATGCAGATTCTGCCCTGGGCTTCCACTTGCCAGTTCCACAGCAGATGTCAAGAAGGATGGTGTCAGAGTTCACTCCAGTCAGCTCCCCCACAGTCCGATACAGCATCTCTGCACCAGCAGTGTTAATCTGGAAAAAGGCATCTGGAGAGATGCGGATCTTCAAGCTCAGAAGTTCTTCAAAGATGTAGGGTTCCCCAAACAGAAGCTGATAGGGAGACTGCTGATGGCTACAACGGGTCATGGTACTGGAAAAGAATAAAAGAAGAAAGCATCTTGAGCTGCGTGTGGTGGCTCACACCTGTAATCCCAGCACTTTGGGAGGCCGAGGCGGGGGGATCACCTAAGGTCAGGAGTTTGAGACCAGCCTGGCCAACATGGTGAAACCCCGTCTCTACTGAAAATCCAAAAATTAGCCAGGTGTGGTGGTACATGCCTGTAATCCCAGCTACTCAGGAGGCTGCAGTAGAAGAATCACTTGAACTCGGGAGGTGGAGGTTGCAGTGAGCCAAGATTGCACTACTGTCCTCCAGCCTGGGTAACAGAGCGAGACTCAGTCTCAGAAAAAAAAAGAAAAAAAATAAAAAGAAAGCATCTTGAAATGGCAGACCATCACATCACTAGTGGTTGGGTAGACAGGGAGGCCCCAGCATCTCAGCTAGGAGACACAGTCCCTGCCATGGCCCTGAGAGCTCTGCAAGGGTTTCCCCGTCAGGGGATGAAAGTCCATGTGGACACTCTCACATCTACATTCTGGCCTGTGTTCCCAGACCCGGCTGGTGTACAAGGGCCAGAACCATTTAGCCAATATCCTCCACCATCAATCAGCAACCCTGCATCGGCAATCCATAAACCAAGAGTCTGGCAAGCCATCAGCCTATTTGGCTGTCCCAGGTTTACCTTTCCTGGAAGTAAAGTGAGGTCAAGTCACAGGCTGCTCCAGGACCTCTGATGAAAAATTCCTTTACAGTCTCCTTCTGAACATGGAGCTCCTCCTGCCCAGACCACAAAATTGGTAGTTAAGCAAAGACTCATCTCTAACAAATTTTCTCTCTAAGCTCTATAGTAATCAGCCCTGCAGTAATCAGACACGAAGACATTTCACAAATCTTATTATAAATAACACTTAACATAAAGCAGGTCAGACATGATGGTTCATGCCTATAATCCCAGCACTTTGAGAGGCTGAGGTAGGAGGACTGCTTGAGCCCAGGAGTGTAAGACAAGCGTAGGTAACATAGCAAGATCCTGTCTCTACAAGCAATCAAAAAGGCTAGGAGTGGTGGTTCACACCTGTAATCCCAGCACTTTGGAAGGCCAAGGCAGGCAGATCAGTTGAGGTCAGGAGTTCGAGACCAGCCTGGCCAACATGGTGAAACTCCGTCTCTACTAAAAATACAAAAATTAGCCAGGTGTGCTGGCACGTGCCTGTAATCCCAGCAACTTGGGAGACTGAGTCAGGAGAACTGCTTGAACCAGGGAGGCGGAGGTTGCAGTGAACTGAGATCATGCCATTGCACTCCAACCTGGGCGAAGAAGCGAGACTGTCTCAAAAAAAAAAATAAAAAAAATTAGCCAGGTGTGGTGATGTATGCCTGTAGTCCCAGTTACTTAAGAGGCTGAGGTAGGAAGACTGCTTGAGCCCAGGAGTTTGAGGCCACAGTGAGCTATGATTGCACCATTGCACTCCAATCTGGGCAACAGAGCAAGACACTGTCTCAAAAAATAAAAATAAAAAATAAAATTCTTACATAACTACAGAGAGCCTAAGTATTAGCTTGATACCAGGATATACTGCCAATAAACCGTGTAGGAACAATAGGGTTAAAAACAGGCGTCAAAGGGCCTGGGTTCAAATCCTAGCTTTGCTATTTACTGATTCTTTAACCTTGGGTATTTCTATGCCTCCATTTCCTCAGGTGTAAAATGAGGGTGACAATCTCTCTCCTCCTGCCTACCTTACAAGTTTGTTGAGATGATCATATAAGTATAGGAATGTTTTAACACAGGTATGTTTGAAAGCACCAAGTGCATGACAAATGTAAAGTACTATTTGGGTTATGAAATTCTCTGACATTGCAGTCTCTATTGTGAACTGGCATTTGGATTTGGAAGAGCAACTACTACCATGGGCAAAGTTCTTGTGAAATTACTTGGGAGTTCTCACGTAGCCTAGCTACAGTCTCTGTGGTTTGATTATGCGAGCAGTATGGTTAAATAGTATCCTTGCCATCTTCTCCTCATCTCTAACTCCTCTCCCCAATCAACACAAATACTCTGTGGATGTACAGTTTCTGCTATATGCCCTGAAACTTCAAAAAAACAATTACAGTAATAGTAGTAGTAAAAGTGATGGTTGCTTAACATCTTGTGAGGCTCACCTGACTTAATTTCTGGGGATGGAAAGTGATGATAGCCATTGTGTGCCCTTGGCTATTGGTGCGGACTATGAGCTCACGCCAGTATCCACCTTCATGAAATACAAGGCAGGGCTCCAATGGAGACTGTCGAAGGAATACTTCATAGTACTAGGAAGAGAACCGAATTATTACACAAGCAAAACTAGCAAGTTTCACAGCTGATTATTCATGCTAGGTGATGGTTTGCGGCTACACTGTGTCCCCCAAAAACTCCTATGTTGAAGCCTTAACCACCAGTACTCAAAATGTGTCTATATTTTGAGACAGGGCCTTTAAAGAGGTGATTTAGTTAAAATGAGGCAGTTAAGGCAGGCCTTAATCCAATCTCACTGATGTCTTTTTTTTTTTTTTGAGACGGAGTCTCACTCTGTTGCTCAGACTGGAGTGCAGTCGCATGGTCTCGGCTCACTGCAACCTCCGCCTCCCGGGTTCAAGCAATTCTCCTGCCTCAGCCTCCTGAGTAGCTGGGATCACAGATGCCCATCACCTAGCCTTGCTAATTTTTGTATTTTTAGTAGACACAAGGTTTCACCATGTTGGCCAGGCTGGTAGCGAACTCCTGACTTCAGGTGATCCTCCCGCCTTGGCCTCCCAAAGTGCTGGGATTACAGGTGTGAGCCACCGCACCATGCCTGCTGTCTTTGTAAGAGAAAATGTGGACACACAGAGACACCAAGGTTGGGTACACAAAGAAAAAGACCACGTGACACAGCAAGAAGGTGTCTATACAAGCCGAGGAGAGAGGCCTCAGCAGAAACCAAACCAGCAGAGACTCTGATCTTAGACTTTTAGCTTTCAGACAAGGAGGAAACAAATTTCTTTAAGCCACTCAGTCTGCCATATTTTGTAATGGCAGCCCTTGCAGACAAATACAGTGATATAAGAAACATGATTAGGCCGGGCATGGTGGCTCAAGCCTGTAATCCCAGCACTTTGGGAGGTCGAGAGGGGCAGATCATGAGGTCAGGAGATCGAGACCATCCTGGCTAACATGGTGAAACCCCATCTCTACTAAAATACAAAAAAAAATTAGCCGGGCACGGTGGCGGGCACCTGTAGTCCCAGCTACTCGGGAGGCTGAGGCAGGAGAATGGCGTGAACCCAGGAGGCGGAGCTTGCAGTGAGCTGAGATCCGGCCACTGCATTCCAGCCTGGGTGACAGAGTGAGACTCCGTCTCAAAAAAAAAAAAAAAAAAAAAGAAAAAGAAACATGACTGACCGGGCACAGTGGCTCAAACCTGTAATCCCAGCACTTTGAGAGGCCAACGTGGGAGGACTGCTTATGTCCAGGAGTTCAAGACCACCTGGACAACATGGCCTGTCTACAAAAAATAAAAAAAAATAGGCTGGGTGCAGTGGCTCAAGCCTATAATCCCAGCACTTTGGGAGTCCAAGGCGGGTGGATCACTTTGAGGTCAGGAGTTGAGACCAACTGGGCCAACATGGCAAAACCCCGTCTCTACTAAAAATACAAAATTTAGCCAGGCATCAGGGTGGGCACCTGTAATCTCAGCTACTCGGAAGGCTGAGGCAAGAGAACTGCTTGAACCCAGGAGGCGGGTTGCAGTGAGCCGAGATCATGCCACTGCACTCCAGCCTAGGCAACAGAGACTCCATCTCAAAACAACAACAACAACAACAACAACAACAATTAGCCAGGCATGGTGACACACGCCTGTAGCCCCAGCTACTCGGGAAGCTGGGGTGGGAGGATGGCCTGAGCCCGGGTGGTCAAGGCTGCAGTGAGCCGAGATCTTACCACTGCACTCCAACCTGGGCAACAAAGTGAGACTCTATCTCAGAAAAACAAAAAAGAAAGAATCTTGATTCCTGCCCTGTGACTTTACAGAGGATGCTATCAATTACATTCCGAACTGTAGGCTCCATGAAGCGAGTTGTTTCCTTAGTCTGACATATGTGTTCAATAAATATTATTGAAAAATTGTATGAATGACTGAACAGGAAAGGTATTCTTACTTAGAACTCCAATTTATTTATGGAAAATAATCTTCCCTTTCTGTGAATTCCTAATGTATTACTAAGCTGCTATGATTCCACTCTTACTTTTAATGTCCTGATATAAGCACATCATTTCTATATTTCTTCATATAACCGAGTACCAACTATATTATAGCTTAGTCAGATCCTCCATTTCCTCCTGGTATATACAAGTCAAATGCAATCCTGATTTAGTTGTTATGATCTCAAAAATCCTAAAAGCCAATTGCTGCCATAACAGGAAACACCATCTGATTTACTAGGTCCTTTTGTTCTCATAATGCATGTGTTCTGGGTCCACTGTATTTACAAACAAACCACAAATTATGTAGTAAAGGGGGAATTATACCACAAAACAGCGCTACCTGAGAGGTAAGATCAATTAAGGTTGTACCTGATCACTTTTGCTATAATTTCACATAAGATATCCTTGATTTTTACTCAACATAGTTTTCAAATTTTAAGGTTGGTGATTTAAAGAAAGCCTAGTTCCACTGGGCGTGATGCCTCCTGCCTGTAATCCCAGCACTTTGAGAGGCCGAGGTGGGCAGATCATTTGAGGTCAGGGGTTCAAGACCAGCCTGACCAACATGGCAAAACCCCATCTCTACTAAAAATACAAAATTTAGCCAGGTGTGGTGGCGGGCACCTGTAATCCCAGCTACTTGGGAGGCTGAGGAGGAAGAATCGCTTGAACCTGGGAGGTGGAGGTTGCAGTGAGCTGAGATTGTGCCACTGCACTCCAGCCTAGGCAAGAGTGAGACTCAATCAAAAGAAAAATAAAAGAAAAGAAAAGAGGAGAGGAGAGGAGAAGAGAGGAAAGGAGGAGGAAGAAAGGGAGGGAGGGAAAGAAAGAGACAGAGAGAGAGAGAGAGAAGAAAGGGAGGGAGGAAAGCAAGGAAAGAAAGAAGAGACAGAGAGGAAAGAAGAAAGAAAGACTAGTTCAACTGTTGTTTACTGGCTGGTTAGAAAGGAATGCTTTTTGGAAGCAAAAAATATCATATAAAGCCTGGTGCAGTGGCTTTCGCCTATAATCCCAGCATTCTGGGAGGCCAAGGTGGGTGGGTGGATCACTTGAGGTCAGGAGTTCGAGACCAGCCTGGGCAACATGGTGAAACTCCTTCTTTACTAAAAATACAAAAATCAGCCAGGCATGGTGCCGCACACCTGCAATCTCAGCTACTCAGGAGGCTGAGCAGGAGAATCGCTGGAACCCAGGAGGTGAAAGTTGCAACGAGCCGAGATCACACCACAGCACTCCAGCCTGGGTGATAGAACAAAACTCTGTCTCAAAAAAAAAAAAAAAAAAAATTCATATAGGCTCTGGAAGGATGGCAATTGAAAAACTGAGCTTGACCTAAAGGATAATGGGTAAATACGAAGTACAGCTTCTCCCCTGTATGACCTAGGGCCTTGGTTTCTTCATTGTTTTTTTTTTTTTCGGAGTCTCGCTCTGTCGCCCAGGCTGGAGTGCAATGGCCGGATCTCAGCTCACTCAAAGCACTGGGATTACAGGTGTGAGCCACCGTGCCTCTGGGACTACAGGCGCCCGCCACCTCACCCGGCTAGTTTTTTTTTTTTTGTATTTTTTAGTAGAGACGGGGTTTCACCGTGTTGCCAGGATGGTCTCGATCTCCTGACCTCATGATCCACCCGTCTCGGCCTCCCAAAGTGCTGGGATTACAGGCTTGAGCCACCGCGCCCGGCCTGGTTTCTTCATTGTAAGATGGAAACTGAAACTCCTATTCTTATATGGGAATGCTTAAGTAAGTATTAAGATTAAAGGGAACTTCTGGTTAAAATAACAGAATATTCCACCTAAAACTCCTACTAAATGAAAAGTCCTACTAAATCCTACTAAAATGAAACAAAGGGATTAAAAAGGCATAAGCTTATTTAGGTTCATTGTTTCCAACAATTCTCCCTTCTCTCTCCTGCACCATCATTGCCTTCGCTCCGTACTGGATCATTCCCATCAATATACTATCAGATTGCTTTTACTCTCCCATTTTAAGCAGAAAAAAAGAGGACTCTTCTTGACCCTATATTCCCCAACTCTGCTCCTCTTTGTCATAAAACTCATCACAAGAACTGAGCCTATTCACTGCCTCCCATTCTTCTACTCACCCAGCTGAATCAGGTCACTACTACTCTGCGAAAACAGTTCACATTAACCTGGTCACATAACATGACCTCCTTGTTATGAAGTCCAATGGTTAACTTTAAGTCCTCACTTCCTTGACCTATCAGCAAGCATTGGGCACATGTGAAAAGCCACTCCTTCTCTGTTTACTTTCTTCCTCTGGCTCCCAGGGAAACCTTACTCCTGTTTCTTTCTTTTTTTTTTTTTTTTTTTTTTTGAGAAGGAGTCTCACTCTGTTGCCAGGCTGCAGTGCAGTGGTACAATCTCGGCTCACTGCAACCTCTGCCTCCCAGGTTCAAGCAATTCTCCCGCCTCAACCTCCTGAGTAGCTGGTACTACAGGCACACGCAAACAAGCCCAGCTAATTTTCGTGCTTTCTTTTGTTTTTTGTTTTTTTTTAGTAGAGACAGGGTTTAACCATATTGGTCAGGCTGGTCTTGATCTTCTGACCTTGTGATCGGCCCACCTTGGCCTCCCAAAGTGCTGGGATTACAGGCATAAGCCACCGACTCCTGTTTCTTACAACCTCACTGACTGTCCCTTCTCAGTCTCCTTTACTGGTTCTTCCTCTTCTTCCAAACCTCTTAAAATGGGAGTGCCCCAGGGATTGGTCCCTGTTCCTCTTCACTTTTCTATCTACTCTCACTCCCTTGATGATCTCTTGCCAGCCTCATAATTTTAAATGACATCTACATGCTAACAATTCCTGGATTTCTCTCTCTTGAACTTCAGTCTAATATCGCCAACTAACTACTTAACATATCCATTCAGATGTTTAATAGGCACCTCAAATACAACATGACCAAAACTGAACTACTCATCTCCTCCAACCCAAATCTGCTCTACCAGTCTTTCCAGTCTCAGTTGACAGTAACTTCATTCTTCCACTTGCTCTACACAAAACACCGGGGGCCATTTTTTTCATTTTTTTATATTAAGGTATAATTGATACATAAAATTTGCACCT